TTTTGAGATATGTCACAACATTCACTCAAATGTTAATGACAATTCCTTAAAAAATTTGGATACATTTATTTTATGGAAGCTATTTTGACATTATTTTCACCAAGTACAAAAAGACAAGAAAATTGGACACTACCATTTCTATTTCTGCAAATATATATTCGACGAATTGAGAACCTGAAATTCCAAGTGACTGTCAATTTTGATAACATAAATTTCAAAATAAATTTACATCTGAATAAAATGATGTGTTAAAGAGTAGGGTACCATATGTGCTGTGATGGCACAATTACACTCCCATTTCTTGTGCAGTAGTTCTACAATATAACTCTGTCTAACACTCACAATTTCTACTTCACAAAACACTACAAGAACAATTCGTTAAATAACTTAAATTACAATTTGTTTTTTTTTTTTTTTTTTTTGGTTTTAGTTTTCAAGTTGTTTATTATTTTTATGAATTTTTTTCTTTGGTTGTTTTTTCAGCATTTTTTTTCGTTTTATATTTTAATTCATATTTTCTTTAATAGTAAAATTTATTCATTGAGCAAATAATTATTGTTGTTTTGTTTATTGCTTATGTTGCAGTTTTATTTATTTATTTTTTTTAATTTTGTATTTAATAAATATTTGTATTCTATATTCTGGCATTTTGAAGAACACCTGGTTATTGTTAACTTCAATACTATCTCGTAAATAAATATGTTTATGCATAATGTTATTATTGTTTTTTTTTGTGTTTCACTATTACTAAAAATATATTTCGATATTTGCGATATACGTATGTATATATAGGACTAGAACTATTGTGTTTGTGTGTCTTTTTCATCTAATAATACTTTCTTTAGTTTAGTCTAAAATATCAAATATGAAAAGGCTTACACAAATACATAGGATATTACATAAGAAATGTAAATGAAAGACATACCCACAACTTACATTTGTATTCGTATGTATGTATTTCGTAAATTCTATGAATAATCATCACAAAAGATATGACAATATTTTCATCAACTTCTGAGTAAACAAAAAATTATTGATAAATAGAAAAATATAATCCTGTTGTCATGGTTCGATATAAAATATTCATATACAAAAAATATAAGGTATTTTCTGATTGGCATTATTACATAAATCTTGTTCTATATGTATGTAGATGATTCTGTGCTACTAATCTGAGATACATATTTGCATGAACACATCAGTACATACATATATGTGCAAGAATTCAATTGACATAAATTTTTAAAAAGAATTATTATTTTTTAAATAACTTTATTAGTAGAAAGTCAAAATCATAATAATGCATACTACAAAAGAAGACAGTAAGTTGAGTACAAAAGTTCACCCGTTTGGGTATATATATATATATGGTACAAGGATTCTTATTGTAACGTGAATCAATATATACACCAATGAGCCGATTTCAATCGACCTATACACATGTAATTCAGTTATCGAAAAAAAAATTTCCAATTTGCCGGGCAGATTTAATACATTCCATTCTAGCCTATATACACTATACAAATTTTCAATCGCAATAAGAGAAAGGTATGTTAGGATATGGGTTGCTCTATTTAAGTTAAATCGATTGAAAAAATATATTTGAGCTATATAAAATTGGAACGATTTGAATAAAATACCCACAAGTTTTTTGTCGCAATCGAATATATGCAGAAAGAAATAATATCACGTACCATAGCCCTTAGGATAAATAAAAATCAGTAAGGAAAGTTCAATTCAGTTAGGATAAATAAAAGCCAGTAAGGAAAGTTGAAATGTGGGAGGGAGACGACTATATGATAGCCTTCACCACTTAAGAGCTATAACTGAATCTGAACCGATTGTATAGACTCAATTTGATACGCTGTGCAATATATTGTTTAAATCGAAAGAAATCTAGAAGCTAGGGTACTCCATTTCCTTAAAATCGGAAAAAATATCTTTCGAAAAAGCTCGTATTATTTGGAATCTGACTCAGCTGAGAACTATTATGCTCTCGGATGAATAAAAGTTAAAAATTAAAGACTCAGATATGAACAAAATTACCGTGAAAAAGTCCATAAATGAAAGGCTCATGCCACATTACTATTACTAGTGTACTGGTGAGCACGGAGGAGGGTCAATAATCGTATTGGGTTGTTTTGCTTTTTATGGAGTTCGATATATTTACGAGATTTATGAAGTAATATACAAATGTATTGAAAAACGCCATGGTTCCCTTTGCTAAAGAAAATATACCGCTTGTTTAAATGTGTTTCAGGTTGACAATTACCTCCAAACATACACCAAAACAAAGATTGGTTGCGGGAATCAAAAATGAGGGTTTTATAATGGCCAACAGCAAAATTAAAATAGTTTCGCAAACAAACAAAAACAACCTCTTCTCAAAGGTTCAGGATACAAGAAACAGTATACTCATGAATCAAATTGAGCATTTTATTAATTCAATGCCTCGTAAGTGTGCTGCCATAAAGAAATATAATGGTTAAGCAGTCAATTACTAGCAAAATTTGCTTATTTAGAAGAAAAAAATCAAAAAGTTGAGTTTAGTTTTGCATGGAATATTTAACTTCTACTGAGAACCACATTTAATAAACGCGCTTATAAAATACTACCGAATAATTGAGGGATACCATATATCCATCCCATCCTAATAAATTGGCCAATATTGATTATTTTTGGTAGGAATATTTTCTATCCAATGAAAATACTAAATTATAACCAATTTGTTTGAAGAACACATACAAATTCTTCTAAAATACCGAAATTTGGGAGGTATCACAATATGTCAACCAGAAACTGTGATATTACTTGTGCGGATTTTGGATTTTTTTTTTGTCCATCATATCGATATTTTTTCCTTTTTATATTTGTTTACCCGATGTTGTGAGTTATATTATAGGCCCAAGAATGTAAAACGGCATATTATTGCTCCTCATTGTATACCGAGTTCCAGTTTTCGGTAATGTCTGGTTAATATTTATGGGATAAAAGGTCATATTTACAATCCGAAATCCATAAAAGTGGAAGTGGATCTTGGAAACGACAAAACAAGCCTTTCACATTGTTATTATTATTAGAGGCACAAATGTGGACAATTGTCACTGAAAATTTAAATCCAGTGGTATTTTTGTAGGGAACCATATGACCCCATTAAACTATTCTCACCTTTTCTTTTTTGGATAAAAAAGTAAAAATGCCTTTTTGTGCTTCCGACAGATATATACCCTTATCCTATGGTTTTGGAATTTCTATCTAGGTGGAACTTTTTTTTTATTAAATTCTGACTGTTTGTGTGGGAGATACTACAGATGATGGTAGCCGATAATTGTCCTAAATATGCATTCTTCGAATCGGACATTCAATTTGCATAATATAGGGTTTATAAATATTGAAATTTTTGACACTTTGTGAGTATATACCAAAAGAATTGAACCGATGCATCCCATCTTTGACTTGATCTAGGCTACAGAAATATTACTATGGACTAAGTTCTGATAAAAATAGAAATTCCGTTCGCTTAAATTTTCAAAATATTGACCCTTTCATGGACATGTACAGTAGTGTGGACCGTAATGGACCATATTCCAATATTATACCAGCTTGTTTAAAATATAATTTTGTACAAAGCTTATAAAATTATGTTCACCAACATTTTAGTTGGGGAGGTACCAGAAAAACTGCTTTGATATTCCCCATTTCCGAATTTTATTTAAGTTTGGAAAAAAACATTATGATTTGCAATGTTTGGATGGAAGTAACGATACTCTCTTCGAAAGTTATCTGTTGCTGTTGTACACAGCCATCCAGACAGACGGACATTTGTAAGTGGACTCCAAATTGTTTGAAATGGATTGGTCCAATGACACAAAAGTTCTAAAACGAATAATTTGATGAGGTACATTTTGCCGTAGCAAAGTGTATAAGCCATAAGGCTGAGTATATAAATATTAGTACAAGTATTTGTACAAATATTTTAAAAAGAAAACTATTTGAAAATAATTTTTTACTTTTCCAACATCTTCATGCTACACTTTTAATAAATACCCTAAGGGTATACTTTTTCAAATCTTGTTGATTTTGGGCACTTTTTAGGGAATTTTTTTTCGAACGGCAACCATTAGGTTTTTGACAATAGTGTTATTTCTATTAGTCAGTATGCAAATTTCACTTCACAATTTCAAAATTTTCTTTTCCAAAAAGTTAAGAATTTTTATCAGGACTAGAAAAAATAGTCAGAAATGTGTAAAAATATTATATATTCTTTAAAACAACTGTATATAATGACGTTTACTACATTTATTACATTTTATACAGGTATATGATGTTTTCGATTTGTACACCTCTTTGACAGTCGAAACCCTAAAAATTCGTCACACAGGCCATCTGATGTGGACTTCCTTAAAAATTCGACCAATATTGACAGTTTTGTATAGGTAGATTTGCTAAGCAATTAACACGGAAAATACTAAATTTCATACAATTCCGTTAAAAATCGTGCTCAACATGCCAAAATAGCGAATATTAATTGGTACCGTTATATGGGGGCTATAACAAAACGTTAGCAGGGTTAGCAGGGTAATATAATTCACTCAGAATTACAAAATTTATTTCTGGTGATCACCGCAAATGAGGCACAATATTTTCTTTTCCTTAAATATTGAAAATGTTTAATTAATAATTATACATGTAATTGTATTTTACCTTTTCAAATATATAAATTAATGACTATGTTATAGAACGGATGTGCAATTTATTATTATTGTTTTTAATCTAAATAATTGTATATTTATTTATTGTTTTCTGTTATTACTTTGTTTCAGTCTTTGGCTTGACCACAACAACATTTGCCATACATACAAACTTATATTTTGGACTCTCTAAATTCTTCATAGATATTGATATTTAAAAGTTGTTCGTTTTTTAGGTTATATATAATTATGCGAGTATTTGGTTAGTTTATGCAAGACGTCGAATCAACGACATCTAATCCATTCGACTTAAGAGATACCCAAATCATGCAGCAAATGTTGTCTGATAACTTCACCTTCCTCTTCGAGTTTTTGAGCTGTAATCGTATTGACGAGATTAAATGCAATTGCAAACAGAACAAATGACGCATAGACGCCAAAGGCCAGCCATCGTATTAAATTCGTTTGAGATTTGTGTTCGAAATTGATTAGCACTAAGAGTCCAATTGAGAATCCGGCCAGAGATCCTGTCAAATGGGCTATATATGACACCGACGGTATGAAATCCATGGCGTCTTCTGTGAGATATTTACTATAAAAGGCATAGCCGGTATCGCAAAAAACTGCAAATAAAACACACAAGAAATATTTTAATTCGACACCTCACAGCCGGAGTAGTTTTGTTTTGCTCGTCTTACCAAATATTAATACTGCCATTAGTTGAGAGGCGCCATAGCGCATTTGGCCAAAATTAATCATGACATTTGCCAGTTGAGCTGCCAGTAAAGCGTAAACACCACCACTCGCCCCCACCAAATACACCTCGGAATCAATGACACTGGTGCCCAGGGAACCGGCTAGAACACCGGCCATATAAATGACGGCAATACGTGCGGAGCCATGTACCATCTCCAGCGGCAGTCCATAGAGCAGCTGAACAATGACATTGAAAGCCAAATGAAAGCCATTTGCATGCAGTGTCATGTATGTGAGAAAACGCCATATCTCTAGGCGGCGATCGGGGCGATAAATCAGCAGCGATTCACTCGGAATACTGGTGCTAATCAGTTCACTGTGCGGCTTCACGGTTACGTAATCGTAAATAAAAACTCCAATCTGTAACGAAAGAAACGTAACGAACGAATTTTTATTTGTGACTGCGATTAATCAAAATGTTTGCGTCTATAACTCTTTTGCGGCTGATTAACAATTCAATCACGCACCAAATGCTATAGTTGATGCTAGCGATAGAATTTAATTGATTTTATGTAACATTTTGTTGTTTAGGCGTCAAATTATTGTAAACAAAATAGTTAACAGCAATTACATGAAACTAGGTATATATGTAAATAAATAGTTGAGCCTAAACGTCACCAAAATATTTCTTAACGTCTAGGATATTTGTCTAAAAACGTTAACATAATTTATTAAAGGGACAGTAGGGATTTATGTGGCGCAGATCATCGTGGATATCATGGGGTTTACATAAACGCTAAAAAATAATATTCTAAATATGTTTCTGAAATCCGAAACAAAGAAATTTAAGGAATAAGAAAGTTAAAAGACAGTTAATTCAACATTTTCATCATGGTCTGCAAATATATAACCGAAATTCTCTTCAGTTATCAATGCCTATATATTCGTTATTTGGCAACGGGTTGGTCCAAGTGTCAAGGTAAATGGCACTAAATAGTCAATACGTTTTTCCAATTAAAATGATATTAAATTTGAGTTTTGCTTAAATCGGTTCATATATTTTATCGGATTCATGTAAATGGTACACTACAGGTTCCACGTTCGTCTTGTTGACACGCAATTTTGTATGCAATTCCAAATAATCTCTACGATTTACATTTGTTTTTATATCTCAGCCTTATGGCTAATGGGAGTATATCGTCATCATAAATGCAAACGGACGTAACTACAATTTTACTAATTTTACAGGAGAAGCAAAAAACGTTATAAAATCTTTAAAAATGGACCATTTATTTTTTGAAAATAATTAATGGGTCGATTATGTATAGCAACCAAACTAACCAAACTCCAGTTGCGATTTCAACTGGCAACGCCACTGAAATAAAACTTAATATTATGAATATCAACTTTTCTCACTTGCCGTCGATAAGACTGTTTTGACAATTCTTCAACTAGAAATATTGGAAACAAACAAAAAAATTAATAAAATATTTCAGAAAAACTAATTATATGTGATGATAAGCTCAGTGGAACTATTTTTTGATGATGAACATTATGTTGAGGGTGTGTCATTTATTAGAAGGCATTTAAGAGATAAATCTATTAGAACTACCATCAGTTCGGTGAGTAGATGCTGACGTTTAGAGAAATGTTCAATCAACTGCTCATATTAGCTTGAAGGCGTATTTTCGACTACCAAAAGTTGCCGTTGTGTACTTAGTTGAAGCCTTAAACCCTGATTTCCGAAAATCCCGGCGGTCAACAGCAATTCCTCCTCTCTTAAAAATGTGTGCAGCTCTGATGTTTTTTGTAGAGGGAAGTTTTCAACAGTCCCATAAAAATGACTTCAACCTTGGCATGACTCAACCCACAATGTCGGTGGTTTTCGCCGAAGGAAAAACTGTGTAAAATTTGGATTGTATAAAAATTAATGGAAGAGGAAAAAGGGAAGAATAAAATTTTTATTCGAAAACAAAGTTCCAGGGCTTTGTCGGATGTATTGATGATACACACGTACATATCATGGACCCAAAAGAAGATTTTCGCCACTTTCTGCCATTCATTTGGAATGTGTGTTGGTCTTCTGAAATGGCCTTCCACACATCATCGATAGTGGCTTTGGTTTGACCAAAAGTCCGCACGCCGCGTGCTACATTTGGGCGAGCTTTCATCCGGGCAATAAGGACCTCAAATTGTTCTTTTGTAGTAATATTAACCATTGTGGGTAGCCTACAAAGTTCAGTTATTATAAACAGCAACCAGAAATAAATGGTTGCCGAAAATTTGTATTTGAAGCAACTGAAGTTGACAACAGTTGCCATCCATAATGCAAATTTGGCAACTGGCAACGAAACTAAACTATGGTTGCCATCCGCAATCGACCCATAAGTTTTTTTGACATTTTGTGTGCCTGCAAAAATATCTATTTGCAGTCGATTTAAGTCTTTTTTATGATATATTTGAGTTTGTGTCAACAGAACCTTATAATTCTTTCAGCAAAAGAGTTGTTCTAAACGTTATAGCATTTTTCGCAATTGATAACAGTTCAATTGACGGATTAAAAAAATCGGTCCGCTCAAAATTGATTCTTAGTTAACATCTCACATTTCAGTTTACGGGATTAATTGGCATCTAGGAAGATTCAGATCTTTTAATACAAAAACAAATTCCTCTGGACGAACTGTCTTACTCAAAAGGCAACTAACAACCATCAATCACTAGAATCCTAAAAATAGTAAACGCAGAGTTTACTCGAGAGCACTGCAAATGCTCCCAAATCAAATTCTATATATCTTTTTAAAACTCGTAGGTTTACTTTTAATTATAATCAACAATAATACGCATACCCTTACTTCAAACGCTGAATGGTTTCATTTTTGGTTCCGTTCATTCGTTCAATGGCCTTTCGCCACAATTTTCAAAAACTGTCCACAGGGAAATAAAGAAAAAAAGAAAAAACCATAAAATGTTATCAAAATTTCTATCGTCTATCCTGATGCAGTTTACAACAAATGGTTTTTGGACGTGCGTGTGTGAGTGTATGAGTGTCTGTATCTCAACACTTGGCAACAAATGCGAAATAAATATTTTAAGACGAGATTCAGTGTCAGACGATATAAATGGCGTAGTATTTCTTTAACGGCCTTTTTTGTTTGGAGTAACAAATATTAAGTTATACTACTTCATTGATGTTGTTGTTGTTTGTGTGGCATATTCCGGCTGAATAAGGAATTTTATGGATGTTGTAAAAAAACAACACGCAATTATACAATTCCACCGTAAACTCTCAATTGACAAAGTATCTGAAAATATTTTCACACATATGAGATAATCCATTATATTTTTGATATTTTCTGTCATTAGCTTTTAGTATTAAAATTTTGGGCATACTACACGCTGATGTAAATTTGGTTATAGTAGTAGTTATTGATGTCAAATATGTCAGGGTAGAATTGTTTGAAACAGAAAAATATCCTTCGTTTATCTTACATATAACAAGTAGGATAAGGTCATCTCAAAATTTGTCAAGATCTATAAAAATAGCGACGCGTTCACTTTTCTGAAAATTCATATTTTTTGTACCTATTTTTATCGTAAAAGTCTATTGAGTCCACGAATTAGTCAACTATGTTATGATGCCGATATAACGAATATAAACTATTTGTTTATTTATTGGAAGATGAAATATAGGTATCTGTTAAGAGAATCACAATCAATCATAATTTGATTGTTAACCCCTAATATATTTAAACTCTTATCGTAGGAATATTTGCCGCCCAACGAAACCCATAAATATTAAATTGGAGCGGGGATACCCCACTACGTGAATCGATATATTCCACTTCAATACTGAACATTTAAGACTAGGTATTTAAGCCATAAATACTGTATTCTTTATCTGAAGAATATTTCGAAATCGAAAGAATATTTCGAAAATGTTGAGCATTTTTATTGACATGAAATATCTCGTATACATACTATTTCCATTATAGTTCAAAAGGCATGAGAGCGTATACGTTACGTGCTCTCACATTTATACTGAACTTGGCTGACTTCATATAACACAACTCACCAATACCACCACTACTGCCACTACCAACATGTTCTTATGGCTTACATTCAAACTTCGTTTCATAGCACAAAACAGAACAAAAAAACTGGCGTGAGATTGTCTGCGGCTATGTCTGTCGTCACAAATATTTATGGTGTGGTAATATAACCAAACGAGAAACCAGCCAGCAATCCAGCCAAACGATAGACATAGTGGATTGAGGGCATATCAGACATGGGGAGACTAACCCCCAGACATTGGAATTGAACTATTTCAACCCCATCTACCAAATTGATGTGTTGGAGTTTAGCTTTCACGCAGTCATTATAGCTTACAACTAGCCGACTGGCAGTCTGCAAATATGTCCTGTCCGTTTTTGTGCCCTTCACCCCTCTTTTTATTGTGGTGCCTGGTGGTATTAATTTTAACTTATGTAAGTAAATCTTTTTGTTTCTCTTCTTCTTCAAAGTTGACCCATGTCTGGTGTAGTTTTTTTTTTAATATATATTTGAGTTCACACTACAACAACAACATATGTATGACCATATCACCCTGTGTAACTGGAGTAGTTACAGCAACATGCCAATGGATATGAACTTGTTTGGAAGTCAGTGTGTGAGTTCGAAGACATATGGCTTGGCATGTCTAATTTCAAATCGCCTTTTCCTAAGTACTCGCTGTCCGCTTTATTGAAATATGAGTTTGCATTTTGTAGTTTCTGTTTTCTTGTTTTGTTCACCTTTATTTCAAATAAACAATCAACTTTTATAAGAGTTCGGAGGTCTTATTTTTATGTGAGAATAACATGGACTTTATTTATTTTAGGGCAACAACATGTAAATCGTTTGGCTTTTTTTCATTCGCTCACTATTCTGAGTGATATGTCACCCCTAAATAAAATGGGTTGTCAATGGTGACAAATGTCCAGTCCTGTGTATGGTAGCCAAAATATTTTTGGTTGTATGAAAGAAAAAGCAAACTTTGGAAATTTTGTGTCTACACAATTCTATGTATCTCGAAAAATTAAATGCCTCGTATTTATGTCTTATGCATGTTTTTATGTGTTGGTCATTATGTTAACAATCAGCTTTTAGTTTGGGGTACCGGAAATTGCGCAAATTGTCATAATTAGACTAAATATATTTAGACTGTAACATCGCACCGAATCTATATAACAAATCGATTTCGATTTAGCATTCGGAATTAGACGACATGCTCTCAGAAAATGTTCAATGCAAATCCATGTCTTAACAATTCTCCGGATTAAAGATATTCTTAAGGTTCAATCTACACTTTAAAATTAAAGTGGCGAATAACACTGTGCACAAAGATTTTTATGGTGGGAAATTCGTGTTGGGGACTAGGTTAC